ACTCGTGCTATTCCACGTTGGCGGATCAGCTCGAGTGTTTCTGAAGAGAGACGTGTCTTGGTGACTTTCGAACTCTCAGCTTTCATAGCGCTAACGTGAAGATATTGCATGACCCGATCGTATTCTTCGTCAATGTCGTCGACAACAGCGTCTTCCCAACAGCCGACTAATGAATTGAATAAATCCCAGTTTGATGTCAGCGCGTAAACGACGTACATTGTCAAAGCCGATATTGATCCACATCTTTTTAATCGTAAACATCCCATTCGGGTTGTAAGTTGTTCGAATGAATCGATGTTCATGGGCAAACTCGTGTTGATGAGAACGCCGACGCCGTTAACTCCTCTATTGTCGCATTCCGAGGAACAGCTCTTCGCCGGTGCCATAGACGGCGTTGAAAGGCTGGCGTCTTCTCGTCTCGGCCAGGCCGATGACGTCGTACTTTATCCTTCTTGCTTGCATGTACAAGTCTTCTATCGAGGATTTGGATGCAAGTGTACGTGCATTGGGGTCACAGATCGTCACCATAGTTCTTTGAAATCCAGGCAGCTTCCATTGGCCTTGAGATTTTAGCAGACTCTCCGTACTCGTCTTACCCAACGCTACGAAATTGAGGGCTCTTTCGATGTCAGGCGAAATGAGCTATGACCCAGTACCACAACAAATATCCAGGAGAAAATTTAACAGAAATTACCTTGACTTGAAATTCTTAACAGAACTAGAATTCAATTACAAATTCAACGGCGAACTATTTAAGCTGTTGAATGTGGCGATTATCGCTAAAACAGGAAATCTTAGTTAAAGATTTATTACGGGGAAAAGAAAACGAAATGAAACAAAGCTGTTGACGCTGCTCTATTTAATGGTCTAAAAGTCAAAGACATCTTTACTTAAAAACTGCCATTTTGATAACCAGAACTGAGCGCTAGGTGGCTTTAATCTTAGCAGTCTAAAGAATCGGAACTAAAAGGTTATGACAGCATGGAAGTCTAATCACAAAACGATTATCAAAGTTTGTAATAAAATTTTAATTACAGAACATAGAAATTCGAAGCTTGACATTTTACAAGCTGTAGGCATAAGATATACCCATTGAAAGCATGACATTCAAGGACTAATAAATGAACAAATGGAGAGAGCAACTCACAACTATCAAATCAGTTATTCTCACAAGAAAATAATCATTGAGAAGAAATAATGCGTTAGTAATCTATGAGAAACAGAACAAATTGAGTATATCAAGCTAGAGCACCCAAAACATCTCGAATTTGTAAACAATACAGTAGGCGAAAATAACGCAAAAGTGGTGAAAGGAAAAAATCGCCTATGAAAGGTACCGGTCATGTAATAGGTAGGTTACACTCAATGCATAGATTACACATGCTCACAAATCTGACAGACGGACTACAGACCTATAGAATTTCTTTGCTCTTACATCGCATGCTATGCTTATTTCAGAACGGACAACGATCAGCATAACAATACACATAGTCAGCAACAAAAGAAAAACAATGTGTCTTAGAAGAAACGAATATGAATTATATGATTCAACCCGGAAAAAACTGACTTCACGTCGAATTAAACAAAATGCAACTAGGACGCATAAAAAAATTATTAGCCTCAAAAATCATACAGAGATAGGATTAAACCACATCACAAACAAAAAATGCAAAACATTAAAAATGTGAAAATAAAATATAAATACGTGAAAACCCAAAGAATATGGTTGTAAAGAGCCGAATGAATACACTCAAACTCGCTTGCGATAACGATTTCGGCATAATTCTAACTTATAAATAGTCTTTCAGACTTGATATCCACCACATTTTCTCAAGTTCGGAAATAGGTGAAAACCCATTTCAAGCTATTGAGATAGGTTCCGTTTGAGGGATTGCCTTCAATCTTTTATCTTTCTGCATGAACAACAAGCACGGATGGAAGAAAATCTCTATGAAAGGCGATTTTTGATATGTCGTACATCAAGAAGAATTACCTGAAATAGTCACCATTATTCTGCGGTTATCCAAAAAATAAGTTCTGGAGCACTCGAATTTCGAACGACAAGCTCTAACACATTGCATAAACACGTCTCTAAGAACTTAAAACATTCACATTTCAGAGAATATCATGGCGAAATAAAGCGACTACATGCGTGTATTTAATGATCGGCTAGTTTTTAGAACCAACTCGTTTTTTATTTGAATATTTCATGAAAAAAGTAACTATTAAATAAAGCAGAGCTGGGCACTCAATACTGTTCTCATGCGAAAAAAAGAACCCTGTAAACATCCTAGAGTTATAGAAATGGCTTTACATTACCATCTAAAAGTATGAATCGCTACTAAGAGCCATATTTCATTACATTTCATCTGCTGAACACATTACTGTAAGAAAATGGAAGGACTTTGTAACTTATAATGAACGTATTTCGGTATTCCTTGCAAGCAACCGTCTCATACAAGAATGACCTTTGGTAGCAGCTGGAAATAAAAAACAAAATTCTGGTTTATCATTCAACTATGTCTCTCCTAGATAAATCATGACTCTTTATAATAAACCCCGACAATTTTCGGTAACTAGAGGTCTTACGAAGCTTATAAGTTGATAAACCTGTAAAAGAGACTTTGGTCTACCACCATATATAAAAATTTTGGGCATTCTCTAGCGTTGTTTTTACTTTAAATTGATCTAAGATTGAAACATTCCTATAAATCCAACTTCTTTCGTGTCAAACAAGAAAAATTGTACCTAGTGGGTGGAGGTAAAGGGGATAACTGGCTTCAATTATGTATGAATTTGAAGTAAAGATCCAACACATAGAAAAATTGGCAACATCATGAACTGGTGTTTTTTTTACTACGAAAATCACACCACATTGTTCTATTAATCATCATGAACATTCTAAAAGACCAGGAGGGTATATAAGGTTCCCCTCTGTAAAGTTATCGTAATCCTATACTTCCCTCACCACTTTACTCTTTTTGTTTTCTTTTGCTCTTTCTTACTAACTTCTATCTTAATACTATCTGCTTCCCTATTTCATACTATTCCACTGTTTATCGTTTTGAAATAATCCAGCTTGTGAAGAATTAAATATTGTGGCTTCCAGCCGTGCCCACCGACGACTACTTCAACTTTCGGCTCCACTGACTTCTCATCGAATGACAACGAAGAAATTGTGGACATGGAGGATCGATACACGTAACCGAGAGTCACTTACGAATTTTTTATGACTGAAATTTGAAGCTGGTTGTAAACGAAGCTAAGTAGTGGTCATTTATTAACGTAACAGAATCAGAACGGGGTAATGGTGACGGAATGGAACGACAAAAAGGACATTATTATGCTATCCACAGTTAACGACGCGTCTCTTCGCTCCAACTCATCAAACCTGGAGCTGATTAAAAGGTAGAACCACAGCAAAGTTCTCGTGGAAACAGCTGATCAAATGGTGGCAAACTGCCTATTTGTTGGAAGGACTAGCAAGTGGTATGTATACCGCTGTCACTTCATGGTTTAGACACATAATTTCTCACCCAAACTTTGTGTACGTAAAGCTCTTCCTCCATTTTATCACTCAGCCGCGCCTGGTGAACGCATAGAGGATATATGATAAGCGCGTACAGTAAACTTTTCACTTGGACATCTTCAAAAGAGACACCTACATGTGTTATGATGGACGCTGGAAACTTCGACATCATCGGCCACTCATTTTGTTAAAGAAAGCGGTACCAGAGGTTGGAAGAAATGTACATGATATGTGGGTTGTTGACAGTCTGTTATAAAGATCCATGATTGCAAATACGCTGCTGCACGGGCGGGAAAGTTAGCAGTAGGTGTAACCCTTATGGAGAACACGATTACTTAGAATGTTTCAGTAGACGTAATGCTATGTATATACAACTGACACAACCTTCTATGTGAATGTTATTTACTGTAGCCAAGAAGTATGTTTTAGCTCAAAATTGTAACTGATTTCGGGTACCTAAGAACGATATCTAAGCGATCTCTTTCGATTTTGAATGGAGGCAAGAACTGCAAGATTTTATTGTTATTATTGTTCTCAACATGAGTTATTACTCTTAGGTTATATGATGTAGAATATGCATGTATACTTAAATATACACAGATTTATTTATTTAACGCACATATGTATGTATATATTGTAAGCTGGAAATTGTATGTTCTAAAATAAACGTGCGACAAAAGATAGTTAGGTGACTGTTTCGAAAGATAAACTGATTGTGCCACACTGATGAATGCATCGATTCCCTATGAAGAACCTTCTTCAATGATTTTGTTATAAATGTATCCTAGATATCCTATCCTAGGACGCGTGTAGAGCAGTGGTCGGAGGCCCCTGCAACACACACGTGGAATCGATTCTTCACCCATGGCCCACCAAGCCATCCATCCCTCCGGGGTCGGCAAACTGGTAGCAGACTTGTCTGGGAGGATAGCACCACTGGCTTGATACATTGGTGGGGCACCGCGAGTCATTGAAAAGTCTGGATATGCATCCAATCATCTCTAAACGATGATTAATGAAGTCGAATGCATAGCGCACCTCTCGAGGATTGATCAACGCTGAGAGCTTTATCCTTTATCATTTTGTCCCAGAGAAAAGTTCTCCCTAATTGAATCCTACTATTCAATCTGAGGCACTTTTACGTCTCTTCACTAGCCATGCTGTAATGCTGCACACTCACTTCAATAGCAATGGCTTTCTCGCTGCAAAATGGTGTCGTCCAAACAGGTTTTCTTGTAAAATGTTAAATGTAGAGAACATCTTTTCTTGAGCAACTCTTAATATTGGATCTATGTTTGACACCCTCTATAGCGTGACAAAAAAGCATCTATGAACAACAGAAGAAGGGTGGCACGACACAGTTTCACGCTGTCGCGTATGTGTTGGGAGTAAGCCACACTCAGAGATATTTGAATGCAAGCAGATGACCATAATAGCCAAGCGCAATTTCTTGTGCAACTTTCACCAATTACTATATTATCAGATGTTTATAAATTAAAACTGCCACAAGAATTACACATACCGTCCCATCACTGGCGCTTGCAGCAACCTTCTCCCCGCGACAGTTCCAGCTTACTTCAAAGATACCGCCTTTACGTTTCTCACCAACGTAGCTTTGTAGCAATTTTCCAGTCTAAAATAGTAATCCACTCATGGAAACTAAACTATTAAGACAATGGCTGGAGATTTTCTAAAACTAAAAAGACAAATTACAACTGCTGTATTTTATCTACCACGCCTTAGACGGCTTTTTATTCATACCTGTATATCCCATATGAATACAGAACGGTCGAAACATCCAGACGCCACATAACGCCCATCAGGTGAGAAAGACACCGAATATACGGGGTCATTGTGACGAGAAAGAGTACGGACGAGCTCACCTCGACGCACATCCCAAAGGCGAACTGTATGGTCAAAAGATGCACTGAAAACAGTGGACTTGATATTTGATATTTGAACTGCCCGTCCTCAGTGGTTGTGCAGACCCTAGCATAATCACCATTTCTCGGGGATTTGCTGGTTAAGCATTGTGGTTCTATGGGATCCCGAGGTTTGGCCAAAGTCTACTCCAGGTCTTCACCACCACAGGCAGTCGCGGCCCTTGCGGATCAGAGGTAGATTTGCCACCGCCACCATGCGACTTTGATACCAGGAAAGTGGCGGTTCCTGGTATTGGTTTACTCTTAGCTAGGCTTCCTGATAAAAACGCCGGATACCTTCTCAGCTTGGGAGACCCTGCCAGAGGATGAATCCCTCGCTGTACATCGCAGTTCGACATCCAGGAGCACTTCCCAGCCACGATGTGGCGGTAAGCCGTTGGGAGGAACAGTGGACTAGTAACATTTTAATTCGAAAAGTAGTATATATGTAAACTTTTCCTTAACCGACCCGTTTTTCACATCTACTGTACAGATTCCAGCATTACTGACATTTGATTCCATTCCTATACTTAACAAAACCAGTTTTCATCGTAGCCAGTCACCATGTGTAAACTAGACTGAATGACTATGAGTGCTATAATACTGCAACATTGCCTACACAGAACGCTAACCTAGCCAGCATATGTCCAAGTGGACTCCAACGGATCGTGTAAATTTCCTTTTCATGAGCTTTCCAGTCATAAACGGGTTGATCTTCCTGCAGTGACCATATCTGGAAGGAACTTTTTTAAATGATAAAAATCTAAGGTTCGTATGGTAGGGTAGTTGAAGGGCTAATTCAAAAGACTGTGATATAGCGGTTCGTAAACTTTTTACGTTAAAATTTCCATACGTTGGAGTATAAAAATTATCCAGTCAACGAAATTCGATATAATGAAAAAAAAACTATAGTTTTACGAAACGAGAGACAGATAACTCAACGGAACCGGTTTTCATCATAGACAGTCACCTAGCGCATATTTTTGAGGAACTTTTAACCGAAAAAAAGCACGCCAGAAATCGAATCTTTAGTCTCTTAGAAGACAGGAGAACATGATATTCCAAAAAATTCAAGATAGTACGATCACCTCACTCCAACAGAAATTTCATAACTATTAACAGAAGTCCTGAAAGTGTAGTTTGGAAGCATCGATGTGAAGCTCCAATACTTTCGCAAAACTGGACTCATTCGATATATGACAAATACTGCATCTAGTGGAAACCCACATGAACCACATTTACTAGGAACATTACAGTTGATAGATCGAAACAGACGTAATGGGCAATTTTTCATTCTACTGAATATATATCATGCCGCAGCTAACCTGGGTTTTCGAACCGATGCAAGCATGTGCGCATTGCGCTGCTGTCTTGCTTCATTCAATTTTAGTACACGACACCCATATGAATGAACAACGAAAATAATACTTATCAAAAACTGACATCGTTTAGAGTTTAAGAGTTATTCCGAGTAAAATGTATGTTGAACCACTAGATCAATATTTCGGAAGGCATAACTGATTAGATCTTCAAGATATAAAAATCTTTCCCGTTCAAAGATTTACTTGATTACTGTGATGTAAGAACAAAACCGATTTCATTCATTACCAACATATAAGGGAAATTTAACAAAATTCCGGTGATAAAATATAATGTTAGGTGAAGTTACCAATTTCTATCACAAAGCACGTGATCGTACACTTCAAAAGGAGCCCACCCTCAAGCTGTATCTAAAAGGCATCATATCATTTTCAAATTTTTCTGGGGATTTTAGAACAACATGTTACATTTTCACACACTTTCAAAGACATGTCGTCAGAGCATGAGGCAAGTCTATTCGAGTGTTGATCATACTTTATTGCGTTCACCTCGTTTCGATGACCCTAAATGAAATCGGATACATCGAAGTGACTTTAGTAAGTATCAAGAATGACAAACTCACGAGATATGTCCGTATAGGCTTGTCACAACCCAGGCGACTAACGTGTATAGACTTATCTGTAGAACAAGATGCAAACGTGTCATTGGTGATCCAATCAACATCGAGCGCCGAAGCCGAATGAAAATGGAACTGTTGTACTTGTTGCCCTATAAATTATTCACCTAATCCACTACTAGGATTACGCAAAAATATGGCCACTTTTGTTATTACGAATTATATAAATAGATATTACGTCAAAACTTTGTTGCTCACACTGCCTCTGTATACCTGCTAAACCATCATTTCCTTCTCAACTATTTGTTGTGTATTACTTCTTGAACAGCTTCATACTTTTTTTCAACTTTCATTCTAAAACGAAAGTAGGCTATCTGGAATGGAATGGTCATCAAGCAACAAATTCGCAGAAATTCGCGCGACGATTCCAAATCCATTATATGGAGATACGAGTGTTAATCAAGTTGATGACTACGACAATTTGAAGCCGATGATTGAAGCTGACCCTTTAAAAAAAAGACGAAGGATTGCGGAAGAAATCAGTTTTTATATTTCAAATGCTCTTTGTTTGGAAGGCATTGGAAGAGGACGAAAGTGGGTGATGCATGAAATGAACGAATGGCTCCGTGACCGTCGTAACGAAAGCCTCTCCGCGCTTCATTTAAACGAAAAAACAACTCGTTTCTGGATCGTCCTACGAAGTGGAATGAAAAGTGGTTACGAAACGGCAACTGACGATGTTCAGCTTAACGACTGGACAGGACGACCGAAGCTCTTAATTACCCTATGGACGCCAATTGACACCTTTTCGATAAACGGAATCGTATTTACTTGATACTTGAATTGCCCGTTCTCAGTGGTTGTGCAAACCACAGCATAATCTCTATTTTTTCGGAAATTTGCTGGTTAAGCCATTGTGGTTCTCTGGAGTCCCGGAGTCAGCCTGGCCAAAGTCTGCCGCAGGTCCTCACCACCACAGGCAATCGAAACCCTTGTGGATCAGGGGGAGATTTGCAACCATGCGACTTCGATACCAGGACGGTGATGGATCCTAGTATTTGTTTACTCTTAGCTAAATTTCCTGATGGAAACGCCGGACTCCTTATTAGCCTGGGAGATCCTGCCATGGGATGAATCCCCTGCTGTACATCGCAGTCCGACACCTAGGAACACCTCCTAGTCACGATGAGGCGGTAAACTGTTGAGAGCAAATAGAATCGTACTACAACATCTTAACCTATACAAAACGATCATAACAAAGAAGCATTAGTCGATGAAATGAGTTAGAAGTTAAACATATACACCAAAACTGCCTCATCATTCAGTATATTCACGGGATCTCTCGTCAATGAACTGCCAGTTTTCTTCGTACCTCGACAACTTCTTGCTGAGAAAATAAACTATTACTGAAAATGCCTTCGAAGAGACCGCTGTTCTCCATAGCTCCAGAATTTTGGGCGACCGGAATAAGAACACTTCCACTTTGTTTACAAAAATGTTTAGATTATAATGGCTCTTATACTGATTAATAGAGCTCTGCTCGAACCAACTCACAGAGTTTCAAACTTATAGCATAATACTACTTATTATTTCTTCTTAAACATTTCTACAAAAAATAACAACTTCTAAGGTAGAAAACTGACCTTTCACAGCGTCCCATACTATCGTTGACTTGTCCACACCAGCAGAAAGAATGTAGTCACCCTTTGAATTCCACTTAAGTGCAAAAATTGGACCTTTGTGGGCTCCAAGTGTACAGCGGAGTCGTCCTGTAATAGTGCTTTTCCAGGCAATCAGGTTACGAAAAGAGTTAAGAATTTCTCGGTTATTTAATTTGTGGATAGAGCTGATCACAATGAGATAATTCCTACATTGTAAATCATTCCAACATTGTTTCACTTGAACACTAAACAAAATATTTGTATAACAAAAGCATAGAGCTCTCGGCGTTGGTCAATCCCTTTAGGGATGTGCCATGCATTTGAATTCATTAAGCATTGTTTGGAGGTGACTGAATGCATAAATGGCCTTTACAATGACTCGCGGTAGCCCACCGATGTATCGAGTCAGTGCCGCTATCCTCCCAGGCAAGCCTGGTACTGATTTGCCGACCTCGGAGGGAAGGAGGGCTTGGTAGGCCATGGACGAGTGGATCGATTCCACTTGTGTGTTGCAGGGCGCCTCCGACCACTGCGCCACACGCGCCCTTATAAAATACTTGCAAGCCTGATTAATTGTATGAACATACATGAAAGAAATGGTCTCAACGATACTCTCACCAGCTAGTTCATGAATACAGTGGAAGCATCTTCATATATCGTGGATATAAAACGGCAACGTCAAGAGTTCCTCATTCTCACTATTTAGTTCAAACGTTACTTAGGAAGGTATAAGAATAGATACAACCGCATAATGATCAATATTACCATGACAACGGTGTTATTTCCACGAAGCTGATTACTGCACCAAAAAACGTACCTTCAGCCGTCCAAATTCTCGCGAACCCATCGTAACAGCCGGTTGCAAGAAGGTCACCAGCAGAATCCCAATCAAGACTGGTTACATCCTAAATCATGAAATTAGTCAAGAACACTGAATTAACATTTCAAAGGCCAAGTTTCCTTTAAGCTCGGCATGACTAATAAATATGTATTCTTTTACTGATTATCAGCAAAAGGTTGAAAAAGAGAGGTTTATTCGGCTAACGCTTCGAGTATCCGTCTTCTTCAGCGCCGATGTTCCGTGTCGTTACTCCACAGCCGTTGTTCCACTCCATGTGGTGTCTTCGAAGTAATATCGAGTCGAATCTTCTTCAGTAGATTGTTCAGTGAATAACCGTTCTGTATAAAAAAAGTATGGTCACGTGAGGCGGCCTCATTCGAGTCGTGCTCCTCTGAAGAAGATTTGACTCGATACGACGATGAAAACGCCACAAAGAGATAAAGAGGATGAACGACGATAGATGATCAACTCGGATCATCAGCTCCAAGGAAAACGAAGACGTCCAAATGTCAGCCGAATAAGCCACTTTATCAACTTGGCGTTAGTCTATTAATGGAAGAATGCACATTGAATCAAAAAAAATTTGAAGTTCAGAGGGTTTTATATCTTATTTATTTTACATGACCCGTCATCAACACTGTTCGGACTTTGACACTTCTTACATTCGATTCATTTACCATCGTCCATAATGGTCTTTAACCATTTCCCGTCTTGTTTCTGCTGCTGCATGAGAATTTCATTTTATGAAAATCGCAAAATGCTGTTTAGATCGACTCTTTTTGCAATTTTTTAGTTTAGCAGGGCTAAGACGTCCTCATGAGAATTAGAGGAGAGAATTGGGAAGGGGGCGAAGTAGCATCTTTGTTTCCCGATCGGCCGCATCACTAACCACTGCGCTGCTACCTCTGCAGACACAGCAAACACGACAAAAAGTTCACTGGATAGAATAATGTACATAACGAATAATGGCAATCAAGCTACAAGCCTTATTCGAGGGTTGCTGTGCCTTTTCCGACTCGCCAGATGTGCAGTGCTTAAGTACTTTGGTCCGTGCCTCGAATTCCCTGGACGGTGTTACTGGATTTTCAGAACCAACTAAGTTCCAAATTCGAGCCGTCGAGTCACCAGACCTAAACTCAATAGTTAGGCATTTGGTGAAACACGAAAAGCTAAAATTATGACGCTAATACAACGTCCAACGCCTGCATACTGCTACGTTAACAAAAAATTAAAAACAAGGAAAATTGGAAATGAGGTTGGTAGTGCTCTCTTCAAATGATGAAATACCCAGAGTTCAAATTGTTTAACAATACCTATGTGAATACAACATGAATTAAAACTCACACTTGCTATTTACACGCATATGTATATACATATATATGTAAATATACAAAGAACAAATTCACAATGATGGACCGATTTTCTGCGACTACTAGCTTAACGAGTATTTGAATTTTCATCACACTTAAATGAATTGTTTACTCCAAATTTGCTTCTATCTAGTATAAATTTCAATCGTTTAAAAATCTGCAATACTGTGGAAAACGAGCATCTTGGAACCATAAACTGAGCTTAATAGATATCCACGACCTATGACAGCCTTCATTCCACTTTTGTTCCAAAGTCAAAATAAAATCGCACTACACAGAAATTTACAAACAGATGCCTACCTGAGATACATGGACTGAAACGATATCTTTAATTAGATAAAAAGCAACTCTCAAAAATAATATGCTACAAAAACTCACCCAGATGCCATAAGATCTTCGACTGGATTCCATGCACAAATGAACACTTCACTACTGTGACACTTTAAAAATCGTACTTTATCTTCTGGAAATTCGAGCACATCAGCATGCCGAACACCATTCGAATCACTACCAGCACTTGCACGGGGAATGGTAACGTCGGTTCTGCAACGAGGAAACAAAAACATTCTAAACAGGTAACGGAAATCCCATGTATAAAAGAAGGACAAGACACATAAGAAGAACGATAATACTAAAAAAGCCCTTGATTAAAATAAATTCACTTCAAATGAACTCACAAAGTAGAGGCTTGTTGAGCAGCTTGCTGCTTTTTCCCATGAACTCCTAAGGTGGTGCCATTATTTCGGGATGGAGATGTAACCTAGAAGAGCAGTTGACATTTAAAAGTGATATTCAGAAAAACGAGACTAAGCATTACAATAAAGAAAAAATACATACATATGCAAATGTCATTAAATAGCTAAATGAGTTGTTTTAGAAGAGAGAGAGAGAGACAGAGAGAGTTCCAAATGTAGCCAGGAAATTTTCAATTGAAGGTGTGTCCAATTTAGTGTGAAAAACTAACTTCACCTTACAGGAAAAGAAAGAACACTCATAAATGTTTAATTAGAGCAACATCACAAACCATTTAATACGGTGTATTAGTGAAATAAAAAGAATAATGTTGAAATATATGCATTATGAAACATTAAAACTCACCACTGGAGTAGTGGTTTCGCTATTCGAAACTGGCGCAGGCTGGGTAATACGGAACTTGCTTATCGGAGGTTCAGTCATTACTAGAATCAAATAAACATACAGACATAGAAACGACCCACAATGTACAAAAACTAGTAAATATGGTATCACCGAAACATTATAATACTTGCGAAAAAAGTTAATTATCTACTTAGGTCGACAGATCTAGAAAAAATTCACTTTAGTGGTAGATGCGATCGATGCACGGATGTTCCATTGAGCGATGCGCTATTCACTACTTTGTAGCGACAAATGCTTTGCATACTGCAATATTACGTAAACAATATTACTCATTCACTCGACTCCACCAACATATATGCGACGACGTACATGACCTCCATAGAAGTCATACGATGCGGAGATTATGGTCGCTATCGAACCTAGATTAACACTCAGACCATAAATAAAAAGGATAAAGCTCTCCGGGTTGATCAATCCCTAAGGGATGCGCCATTCATTCGACATCAATAAGCATCGCTAGAGGTGATTGAATGCATACCTGACCTCTACAGTAACTCGGATTGGCCTACCGTGTATCGAGCTACTACTCTCTCAGACAAGTTTGGTACCAATTTCGCGGCCCCGGAGGGATGCAAGGATTGGTGGGCCAGAGACGCGGGAATCGATTCCATGTGTACTGCAGTGCGCCTCCGACCGCTACAGCGCTCCGTGAAAAGGAGTGCCATTTAAAATCACAAAAAACCAAGTACCAAGCCCACGCACTTGATGGGGAAAAATGCTTCAGTGAGTGGTGTTGTTATTATGAGGAAATGGTCTACCATTCCGAATCCTTTTCGAAGCCCTGCTATCATTGTTCCTCACCCAGCCTGCTATAAATCCCGTCTAAGATGACTCGAGTAAAGGGTTTGTAGGCGACAGACAGCAAGCAAACTGGCCAATATTTACCAATATCGTAGAGGTCAAACATTTCGAACAATGACACATTTCTCCTGACTTTCCATTGAATAGGAACTCTGTATTTTGACATCCTCTTTCAGCTGTGTTAGGGCTTTCTTGACCTGCCTAGTGTATTTTGTGAGTAGCCGGTTTTTAATTAAGACTACTAGTCAGAGGGGCATGACGTCGGTTTTTGGAAAAGTGTTTGAAACGGAGAATTTAGCTGACCAGGATCCTTTTGGTGTGCCGATGCACCGAATTATATTGTAGTGATACGTAGGATCGATACACGGATGTTGTAGTGACCGATGCACCACTCACTACTTTGTATATATATATATATATATATGCTTTGCATAAGGACGTGAAGAATATTCCATCGTATCTGATACTGATGTGCATTCCTTTATCTAGGTTTCTGCAGTTCTCGCACAGATGTGTGTCTTAGACCGTAAACAAGAGTGAACAGATGCTGTTTACAGGGAGTGGGCCTACTTTCGGTGTTGTTGTTGTGATAAACGCTTTGAGTCACACTAGATAGGCATACATCGCTATCGGAAGGAATAGAGAATACAGTTACTACGAAGAATATTGTGTTCTATCAAAAGCCGCGTATTGATCGATTTGTCGACATTCACCAGTTAAATCCAAATGTAAAAGACAAGTCTAAAATCACTGAGTGGTCATGTATTCGAGAAGACAAAAAAAAAATCCTCACCTGCTTCAATCAAACCAAGTGTGTCCGTTTTTTCGTCGAATAACGGAGTATGATCGGGGTTCGCCATCGCACGAAATTCTGCTTCAGCGTAAAACAGACCACGCTAAAAATACAGGAAGTAGTAAATATGAATACTACATGCTCCGACTTTATTCATTCACCTGAACCATCATAACCAGGGCTCCTGAAGCGACCTCAGTGCAATCGATATCACTGTCCAGTAGATTTGACTCCATAGCAAAGACATATGCAGAATGCTCGAATCCTAAACAAGACCATAGAATAAAAAGATATGTAGAAACGATTCGCATAGATCAAATGTCTGGTGAAATTTTTCCTTTCATATCGAGAAATGTGCAGAGGTGAAGTTTCTCTATACATTAAGTCATACAGTCACGGGAAATGATTTTCACCTACAGAACTGTCACGCTCCCTAGCTTTAACTATAGTAATGAAGATGTTGATGAAATCATGAATACGAGAAAGTTGACTCTGATCAATACTGGTCGATTCAGTAGTGGATTTTTGTAACGAGATGGGTATACCTTCCTTCAACCCACTAACGCTTTAACACGACTGTCATGTCTTCTTTTATTGTCATTATTGTTGTTATCATTACTATTTAATATAGTAATCGCTGTAGTAAAATAAACACATTAAATGAAAACCTAACCCTAAAAACATGAGCCTACCTGATTCCGATAAGTACCTCCATACAATGTAATTTAATTCATTACTCGAGAAACTCATTGTGATTCAGAAATTTTCTTCTGCCTCTTTAATGACGTTTCTTAGAATTTCATGCGACGACGATCCTTAACGAAAGGGAAAAAAATGAAGGCGCAAAGGAGAACGTTAGACTAAAAACACAAGGCAGTATTCTTCATGCTGACGATACTACTTTAGAAGTGTTAGGAGTGACAGAATGTGATCACCCTCGTGTGTAGTAGCATATCTAATAAATCAGAAACGAATTCATGCGTATATCCTTGAAATATTCCCATTGCTTCCCAAGGATTTTAAATTTGCCTATTTCAAACGCTGTTCATTAAGGAAGACTATTAAACCTACTTGAGTTTACGTGATACGGTTATTCGACAAATGTAACTGATAAACTGAATTGATTGAAGCGTTTGATTCAGGATTGTTACACGATTGCAACCATGTGCAATATCGAGGGATGCAGAAACGGAACAGCAAAATCAAGCAAGGGACTTCTTAGAGAAGTTAAAACACTTAAAACCCCAATTTATAATTAAATTAGGTTAGTTCAAGACAGAGAAATCCATATTCTATGACATGCAGACACAAAGTATTAAAAAGGTTGAGTGGTAGACTATGCTCATTACAAGATGATTTAAATACAAAGTTCTAAGCATATCAAATATTTCTACAGACATAAGACTTTCTACTATGGCAAAAGCGACGAGCAAAAAAAAGGGAAAAAAGACGTGGTGTGGGAGACGACTAGGGCGAGAGGTAGGGCGGAATGAGGAGAGTGCTGGAGAAACGGCGTCGTCGTGGGAGGGCTGTGACTGAGGAAATAGCGGAAGGCCACCGTGGGCACAGGGGGACCAACCATTTATTTTAGCGAAAGAAAGAAAAAACTTTACAAATCGAATAAATGAGAAAATTGTGAGCAAAGAGGTCCTTCAGAGTTCCTACAAATAATTACTATAATGGAAATCAATGAATAAGGAAAACACCGCTCACATAGTAACCGCCAGTAGTATTGTGAAATAGGAATGCAGACCACAGTTTGATAGATATTATCAAAAATTATGCTTTAAAAATTAGATAAATCCACTTGATGTATTAAAGCGGAAATCTCCTATAACAATTCTCGTGGTTAATTTCTTTTAAAACACTGTGTTTCGATCGATAACGAAATTCACTTAGAAAAGCAAACTATCATTGAGACGAAAAGCTGCAATTTTAAGCACGAAGAATACGATGCGTTAAAAATGATGGACTAACCAGTACCAGGGAATAAACCTTTGAACATTTCAAAAAATTCAGTAGATCACACAATAAATGAAGATGAAGCTAACAGACCTAAAAGTTTAAGAGCAAAAAAAACAAGTTAACTTTATTATGAATACTACGCAGTACTGCTAAAATTATTGGAAATGAAAATCGATGCGAGAGAATAGAGACGCAGAGACGCCAAACGGGGGATTAGCGCTGAAGAGAGAGAAAGGTCGCAGTGTGCGGGACGCCACGCCTCACTACTGGGGGCACCACCCACCCAATCACCACGCTTTAGTCGAACCGCCAAGGTCCTCGGTACGCCGCCATCTTGTGCAGGCGACGATGTTGTTCTGGAGGAGGTGGAATGGATTAGCCCGAACAACTGAAGTATAGAACGTTTTGGAGTAGTTCAAATGAATTGCCGTACAATTGAAGTGCTGAACAACCAGTGAATGGGCATAATTCATAGTTGTAAATGAGCAAATAACGTATATCCAACCTCACCAACTTTGGATGGCCGTATGGTTAGCACTCAAGAACAACTATGGAGACCGTAGTGCGACTTCATTTGGCTAGCAAATTGGTGGTAGGCTGAGACGACAGCAATTGTGTAAGACACTTATGGTTAATGTCCGAAGTAGTCATCACAGGCAAACGCTGCCTTGGCTCGGAAAGGTATTTGCTACCTTGAAACTTTGCCGCTAGCAATAATGCAGTGATTGACGACATTGGTTTGCTCCTAAACTTGTTGCTAAGCCGCGTTATTGAAATTCCTCTCAGCCTAGGAAATTGTACTAGAGCTTGCGGGTAAACCAACGCTACCCAATGCATTTCGCAACCTAACGACACCTCCACCCACCGTTTGTTGCCAATGACTGGGGAGAGCTCTTTCAAAAATGTTAACTTTTAAGACCCCCCAAAGGGCTACTGCATCATCGTGGCCGAACGGTGTTAATGGGTGTCGGCTTACGATGTATAGCGGTGGGTTCATCTCCACAGCATGGTCTGTCAAGCTGAGAATGAGTCTGACGTTTTTATCCGGAAGCCTAGCTAAGAGTAAATCAATGCCAGGAATCACTACCGTCCTGGTATCAAACTAGTGACATGGTGGCACATCTCCCTCTCATTCACAAGGGCGGCGATTACCTGGGGTGATGACGACCTGAGAAGTGCTTCGGCTAGGTCGATTTCGGAACTTTAGGGAACTACGATGGCTAAATCTACAAAATTCCTGCCTCGGTACTTTGCACAGTGACGTTACCGCATGCGATGTCGGGAGGTGAAACAACCTGTGAGAGACCATCAAATCTCGGGCTGCACAGTTCGTCATTGGAAACTGACAAAACGAGCACACTCACGACAAGGTAAGGAGATATATTCATGCTCCCCAAGTATAACACCACTCCAACTTTTCAGTCGCAGACCTTCACGCTCTTCGTGAGGGCGCCGAACGCATCAAACTGTATGCGATCGCCCTCCAAGAGATGAAAAGCAGGAAGACCGAAATAAGCCATTTAGATGAGGGAACTCCTCTTATTTATGAAGGAAAGCTTTTTCTGTGAATTGTCGGAGGCTTTGGCTTTTTCTACACCTTGTATTTCCCGCTTAGTCACCAAATATCCTGTCATCGCCCGTGGCCCTACTTCGTCTGCAACCTGCGCGTCAAAGGAAAGTCAGTACAGTCAACCATTACCCTCCAATTTGTACATCTGAATAGAGTGAACTAGACGTGTTCTCCTACTTGTTTGTGAAAATAATCGCTAATCAGAAGTCCTTCTAGAAATTCGTCGTTGGAGACTTCAATGATCGATTAGGAACGACCAGCTGGAACGAACGCAGAATAGGAGGATTCGAAACCGAAAGTCGAATGAGAATGGAAATAGTCTTGTTGGCCTCTAAATCCGCAGCATGTCTCTTTCTTGGAGATTAACTTTTCCAGAGCAACGAAAACCGCAGGTGGACATAGGAGTCTCCTCACGGTATGACTCATGTGAAGATCGGCCATATTCTCACCAATAGATAATGGTGCCTCTTTGATACCGCGATGATACCTGAATTCTGCACTGGATTTGATCATCGCCCGCTAAGATTCGATTATGTCAGATGCTGGGAAAGAACTCCTCCTACCGTCCGACAAACCATATGATATCCTACTTTTAAAAGAAAAAATTCCGGACCAGTGGAAGACGTCGCGCACGGTCATTATGCAATATACTGAGTGTGTACTACAAGCTGTTCACGAAGAATATCTTTTTGCACACACCGAAGGCTTGGATGAGGTGCAACCAGCTGAGCAAGTGGGATCCCAACAAGGATTCCTTTGCACCTACCACATCCAAACCGCACGGGTCATACAAGTCTGTCACGAGTACCAGCAAACTGAGCTTAATCGTTCTCTAATTGCAGAGACTATCTCGTATGTGTATCTCAGGTGCTCAGTGGAAGTGGAAATTATTATGAAGGAGAAGTTGAGCAAAAGACGAAGAAAAGCATGGACCGTATTGGAGCATCATGAAGAAAAAGCAAGTCCCTTCACAGACACAGAATTCAGTGATCACTTTTTCGACTAAGCGGTTTTCCCAGAGTTCATGCAGCACAGACGTAGGTCAGTCAACAATACTGCGCACTCACTGAGGGCTTAAACGATGTCTTCTAAAACAAGCTGGCTCACACAACACTAGCTGGAAGACAAAACTCAGATTCTTGAACTCTAGCCTGTATTCGAAATCCAGAAAGTTACGTGTCAACACTGAAACATGGTTCTCTTGGACGACTACCAACACGATGGGGACGCGTTTGTAACAAAGGTCAGTCAGCTGTATTAGTGATAAATGTTTTGCAGATCACGGTTTGTCAATTGCACATGACACCACACTCAAAGCAAGCCAGCACCAAAGACGTTGATTGCGAAGCCAAGAAACGAAGTGAATATGTAAGGTGTTCTTATTACTCATGGAGACAGCAGCTACTTAGATACTCACTCACTCAAGTAGTCAAATAAATGAAAAAATAAGTCTAAAACGCGTAAAGAATGAGACATAGCAACGGTAAGAAGAATAGAAAACATTTCTCGAATAATAGGCAAAATCGGTCCTAACAACAAGGTCGTGCGCCAGACCGAAAGAAGTAGTGGCGGTTGACAAACGGCGTATTAGTGAACGAAAGGAAATATAGTATTCGGATTTGAGTGGAACATTATAAAAGCAATTGAAAGTAATTTTGAAAAATTCGGTTGTATATATATCCCTGAATTAACGGCAATAATCATTTTTAAAACTGCTTTTCAATTTGGCTCCACTACGAAACCTTGTATTAAACGATGCGATTTTTCAATCACCTGTGATCATTGGCTCTCTTTAATTCATCGTAATGTACTGCTCAATTTCGAACTTTTAACATTAAACGAGTTGTAATTTCCGACCCCTTGTTGAGAAATACAGATGTCGCAGGTTTGTATTATTAAGTGAAATGGCTCCTAGACTTAGTGTTAGATTATTACTTTTTTTAGACCGATTTCCATGTAAGCAGTATTTTGTCGTGCAATCATGCACGTGTTGTTTCTGGTTAGTCCTCGCTCCTCGCTTCGAGGAAGCCAAGCCTCGAATCATACGCGTTCGGAAAATTGCTTCTGGAATGGTATAGAAAAGGTTTCACTAATTCTTAAATACGCGACCACCTATCGTGAAGATTAAGAATATTATGGCCTTGATATCCGTAGATTCCCAGGAAGGATCATATCTACCATCATTCCATAGCATTCGTAAACATGACCAAATACCCAAATAGCAACCGAACCTAAAAGCAAATTCGAAGGACTTTGTAGATGACTTGCTGTAAGCAACGAACCGAATGAAAGAACTGATGAGGGGTGGCAAAATATGTGTTAGTGGGTTAAGTAGTTGAACAAATGAAAACAAAAAAGTTAAATTTGTCCCGAATGCCGACCACCGATACTTTACCGCATAAGTTCGAAGTTATTATGCTAATGGCAGTTGTATGTTCAGAGCTAAACAATGAATAGGACTCATGGCAAAGCTAATACATTGGAGAAGGAAAATATTTTGTGAATCCTGTATTTAAGGTATTTTAGTCGCAATGGTCATGGTAAATTAAAACTGAAAAGAGATTTTCGTGAAACTAAAATTTGTGAACTCACGAAAGCGGTAGATGTTTTTTCTGTGCTGAGTTTCTGCCCTAGTATTCTGGAAGAGAAGTGGTACGTGTGGCGCAGTGGTGGGAGGCGCCCCGTAACGCACACGAGGAATCGATCCCCGTGCCCATGGCCCACCAAGCTTTCTATTTCTCTGAGGTCGGCAAATTGGTACCAGACTTGTCCAGGAAGACAGCAGCACGTGCCCGATATATCGGTATGTCACCGCGAGTCATTGTGAAGGCCAGATGTGCATTTAATCACCTCTAACGATACTTAATGAAGTCGAATGCATGGCGCATCCCTCAGGGATTGACCAACGCGGAGAGCTTTATGCTTTATCCTTTTTAGTGGTTGTTTGATTACGCGTAATAACAAGACACTCCTGCTTGCGGTTCATTTTTGGATTTTTAGAATTAGTTCGAAGCACTTCAAGAGTTTAACGCGCTGGTGTTTTACGTTACTATGTACGGACAGTGTCTTTGCGTTGATCAAGCGCTGTACACCATCTGCTCTCTTGTATCTACGGCGCTGCGATGAATCATTGTTAACGTAAGGAATAAGCATATCACCTGCATTGCCTGTAGTCTTGTTGATCGTCGAGTTACTCGAGCGGGCACCGATGAATCTTTCATTTTTCCCTGTCGCGGGCAAGAGTAGCCCAGTATGTTCTGCTCGCTCTAGGGACTCGGTGAGTGTTATATCTTTCTTTCAGGCTTTTCGTGAAAAACTCTGACCATCAGAGCTGTGGTCTTCTTGCAGTGTGTTTAACATTCCGAGGAATCTAATCACTAACGGCTCTTGTCCATCGGTTGTCATTCATACGCATTACGTGTCCGGCCGACCTTATCTTCGACTGTTTGGCTTACAAACGGCATCTTTGG